ACTATATATTTAATTGGTTGATTTCTTGAACTACTATATAAATTAATCTGGATAAAAGTATGCATCTTTTAACAAGTTCATGCATTGGTATTTCTAACATTCAACAGAATGAAATTCGTTTTGAACTTAATATGAAATAGATATATTTCGTCAACTGACAACACCAGATTCAGAGAGACAATGATTACGATCGTTTTAATAAGCTCATTGGAAAATATTTGTTTCCTTTTCCGATATTAAGTAAGACATGTCTGATGTTAGTTTGTTTGGTGATTCCGTTATTATTTTGTTTTGTTCTCATTTGAGAACGTGACACATCATTTTTGGATTAACAAAAATTTACATGGCGAGTATCGTCGATTGAGCAGTAGGCGCTTCCCTTTCCCCGATATCTGGTCTTGTTCACTTTGAACTCATGAATCTCCATGCAAATGTGTTTCGTGCACATTTAACCCTAGGTTATTCGTATATGAGTTTGAGTTAAACTTATGCACTCATGTCAGTATTTTGTATTCTCAGAATGCGTTTCCGGAAAACATGGTACTCCATGTACTTCCGTTTATGGTATATTTTGTCATAATTTATTCTAATTTGAGTTTGAATTAAGATTATGCACTCATGTCAGTATTTCCTCCGGTGTGTTCCTGCCTGTCTGAATCATCAATATTATGTCCTATTGAAACGGACATCCTTCGTTCGTATACATGCATATTTCCAATATCTCAGTAAACACCACTCAATCAAAGAAACAATCAAATGAAGAAAACAAAAGACCTCACATCTTTATCAGAAAATATTAAAGATCTATAAAAACATTTAATTTACTCTACATCTTTCAGATATTAGATTCTTCATTAATCTGATGCGATTTTTTTTTAAGTCTTCTTGAAAATATGAGAACAAATTTTGACAAAGTTGTTAAACTAATTGTAATACAAGGTAGAGTTTAAAGGAAAGTTGTTACTCTATCTAGATTACTAAATTGAATAGGAATTAGTTCATGGAATGTATTTCATATTATCAGGATGCGTTTCCGGAAAACGTGGTACTACATGTGAAGATGACTGTCCTGTGAATTGTAAAAATACATGTGAGCAGGAAACGGGGAATTGTAGTGGTAAGTTATATGTTATATTTGTTAATTCTCCAAGTTACTCGTTTAGGTGGTGACATCTATTTGCCATGGGTGAAATTAGACATATAACGTCATGTAAATTAAAATATCTCAATGGTTTGTTTGTGTGTCTTACCTCTTTTAGAATCGCCCATGCTTCCATATAAAAAGTTACTTTGTTAGGACTCCATTAGTTGAAGAGATGTTCAAACATTACAACCGCAATATCAAGAAGAATTACCTATTGTAACAGGGTTAACGAGAGAAGTAGTGTTTATATTCCTCTTTATAAGAGCAACTCTAGCAAGCAGGAATATCTAACATAGCGACGGTAACAGAAATACTTATTGCAATCCTCAGTAGGAATGTCACACTAGCAAGCTGGACTATATCTAAATTACTGACACAGTTTGATATGATAATGTATATCCATTAATGGGTTAAAATTGGTTTTAATTGACACAATGGATGATATGAGAAAAATGCACCTTAAATCACTGCATACTATAGAAGTGTAGGAAAAAACATCTCGTGTAATTTTGATATGTCAAAGATAAGAAACGGTGTAACAATTAACGCACGGATCAATGGCGTATCAGTGCGCCCGAGAAGGTCTTTGACTAAAATGTTATGTCTTATTTTCCGCTTTAAATCCGTGATGCTAACGAGCTACGTCTAATTAGGGTTTTTCATCATTCGGTGAAAAGACATTGTTATATTTCATATCATTAGGGCTTTTCGCCATTATATGAAAAGACCTACTGGTTGCGTTATGTTTGTTCTTAGTCTTTTTTTTAACTTCCTTCGTATGTTTGTCCTCTTAATGTTATGATAATCACAGTTTGCAGTGTATGAAATAGGACGTGGATTAAATGTGTTATTACGTTGTTTTCAAAGTAAATAAATTCAAATATGTGGACAAAGACGTCATATGTCAAATTCACAAAAAGGCCATAACTTAAAAAGCCGTTGACTGGACAGTTTATTATGCCTAATTAAAATCGTCGCTGTTGTGTCAAGCGTTATTAAATGTTCGACTTTTTCACTTTTCAACCAACGATAACAACGTTTTTAACCAACTTCTAGTTTGAAGATAAATAACCAAGGATTAATTGTAGGTACAAAACCTGTCACATTGCTCGCCAACAATTTCTTGTGTTATGATATATCGACTCCAAGCTGTCTGGGTGATATTTGTCCAAACTTAATTCATATACTAATATTTCAATTTCTACCCAAATCAGACTCAATGGAACTACTAAATGTGATCTGTTTCATTAACCAATGAATTTGATCAGATTAACATTGCCAGTGTGTATGAATACAAATTTTAGGTAAGGGGAGAAAACTCCCCAACTTCTACTAGTCTGGCAATATACCACAAGTATGAGATTTAAAAACATCAAAATAAAAAATTAATTCAACATTTAATAATTGTAACCTTACGTTTCAAAAGATGTGAAGCGACTGAAGCCTGGCTCGGTGCCTGTAAAACAATGGCCGACACCGCTTCGTTTGCGAACCGGCGATATGATAACAAGAACCGAAAATGAAAGTAGAAGATAAATTGCGTCAGTTCCCATGCTATAGAAAAAGAAGCGTGAATTGAAATACAAGAAATGAATCTTGCTTATGTCTATTTTATGGGATGATGAATTGAGTTGGTCTTGAGACAAATTCAAGATGAACTGCAGTCAAATTTGTCTCGAGACCAACTCAATTCATCATCCCATGAAATCGATATACGCAATAGTTAATCCTTAATACAACTTAGAGGATAAAAGTTATTTTAAATTATCTTAATTTCTTATCATTTTTTGTCCCTGAAATGCTTTCATTTATATGGTTAAATGATTAGCACGATAGTAAAAAAACAATCCATAAAAAAGGCGTATCATAATTTTATACTTCATATTTGTTATTGAAATAAATATGAGTTTAGATTATCCTTACATATGTTATTTTGCTGTTAGAAAACGTATGGGTCAATGTATTACTCAACATGCTCTGTGATATGTAATGAATTCGTTTGCTATAAACAAATTGTCAAATTCTCAGGTCAAGTAGCGAAGAACATGCAATAAGCTTAGTTTCGCGATCGCTTCTTAAGCTGTCGCCCCTGATAGTTTATTGCCTACTCAATATCACTGACATAACAAATATACTCAAAAACAAGAAAAAACAGCTTCACATCATAATCATGATCCAAAATCAAATCCAATAAAACTAAGGCAGAATATTGAGAAAAGAAAGATTTACATGAAGACTCCTAAACAAGTACAAGAATAATAAGACCAGAAGTTGGGAAAGAGTAACTGTCTTCTGCTTCATCGACGACATTTGCCAAAATGAACCAGCAGGCAAACTAACAAGAACATTTCACAAAGAAATACAATATTTCTCTTTAGAAACCATACGTGAAGAGTTTAACGTGATAATTGGAACAGGCCTTCGAATATCGATTCAAATGCGGCACGTAAACACTGTAGGTTGGGGATACAGGAAGCTGTAATCAATAAATGAAATGTTCACAATAGAGAAATGGAAATCATTATGTTTTCATATAGCTTGTTTAAAAGCATCCATGATGTTATATCCGAGGGACGTGGTCAATAAGCATCTTGCTATTTCAAGAGAAGACGTTATCGATAAATCTGAAAATGGGATGAAACAACTTTTCAAATGTCAGCCAAGAGAGGACACAATAAGATGTCATAGCTATGCTTATAAATTACTGGAAAATCGAACCAAACACGAGAAACCAGAAACTCGGTTAATTTTCATAATTTCGTCCTCCGTATTTTGCTGTTTTCATTCGGAAGTATTTTTCTCGAAATTTGCTTCAGTATAGTTCACAACTGGCGTTCATCTTTCTTGCAACAGAAATCTCTCATAACAGTAGAATCATACAATCAATTAAACTGCATCATAAAGCTGTTTCGTCCTTCGAGGACTCGTCAGTGATGCTACGAGCCTGAATAAATTTGAAAATCCAAAGTGATCAATCAATATATAAACGGGGAGGTGCAGCAGTCATATTGTTAAGTAATTTTCGTAATTTTTATATATCCGATAATTTTAGACCAATATCAAGTAAATATGTAAATTCTGAACCGTACCGTACTCGAATGGTACGATAAAACCTCGAGAACTTAAAGTCATCCTGCAGTGTCTACCACCTGCTATCAGAATAATTATGAGAATCAGATAATTATGAGATAGTTTTGTGACAGGGTACCGGAAAATGTTACCATTCTTGTCTAAAATTAACTTCATGCAAACATACATAGGTTCCATTGTCGTAGTTGAAAAAAGTATTTTGCATGTCTGGGTATATGAAAAAATATCTTTGAAATCTTTCTTGAATTTCCCTTTCATATGGGAGGAAAGCGACTTCAAAACTGTTACATTTTAAACATAAATATGTCTCCAAACTGTTCCACTCTCTCCATGGCGTTTTAAATCCCTGCTATGGAAATGTTTTAGATAAGATGAGTTTTATTGTCATATTTGTGGGAAAACACTTTTTCAGAGGTAAAAATAGCAATTACATGTGCGGGTTTATGAAAATGATAAACCACCTTTGACATCTTTCTTGATTTTCCATTTTGTATGAGAGGGAAGCGACTTCAAGTCTGTTACAGTGGTATGAAAATTAGTTTTCAATAGTAAATTTGGAATCATCCTAGCTCCACAGATATAATTCCACTAGTAAGTCATAACGTTATGACTGGTTTGAGACGTCACTTCATTGTCAGACCCTCCCAAATCTCATGAAATGATTACCTCACCCCAAAATATTAATTTCAATTTTACTAGTTATGATCTTGCATTTGCTGTAATGAATCTTAGGTAATAAAGATTATAATTACGACTTTTTTTACAGAATGTACAACAGGAAAATACGGGGATGGGTGTGCTATTGATTGCCCTATGAACTGTAAAGACAGCATGTGTCATCGGAAAACGGGACTTTGTTATGGTAAGTTGTTAATGTTTCATTTCGATGCGTGATCTTAAATTCACCTCGCTAATTTTGAAGACAAATGTGTTACAGTGAACTTACTAGCGCTTACATCTGTTTGTAGGCTATGTAAAAGGGGGTTTATGGTGAGCATGGACGGGCTGGGCAAAGAGGCCGATGGAATGTCTGGGGTCTTGATGGATCTTTATTTGATTCAGTATTGCGATTACCTTGTCAACTATTACCACTTCAATTTCATTTTGTAACTGATAGTACACTGGGTAACGTACAGTCTTTTGATTCCAGCATTACCACTGACCGTTCCTTTTGTAACTGATAGCACACTTTTGATATCAGCAACCATAGTCAGTTTATTCGATTGGAGATAAAAAAAATTAATAGTTTGCAGTTCTACGTCCCCGCAACATCCAGAATTATAGTCAGAAATAAAATTATAATTGGGTCACTAATTGACACTTCATAACGCCACCATATTGTAATATCATAGCCTTCATACTTCCTGTGAAAGGTTCCCATTCAGTCACATAATATTGACTAACAAGTCCTTGTATATTCCATCCAATGTTTAACCACAATCTCTCAGCGATTTAACCAAACAGGTCACACCGACTTCACTTAAAATGTATAATACAGCTGTTTTATTTTCCTTGGTGTCGTCAAGCGACGGGAACAGATGTTGTCACGTGAGGATATACACTGACCAAATGATTGAATACGTTGCATAATTTTTAAAAATCATTGATTTCTAAAACAAGGCAAGTGAAACAATGCTACAGATATATAGTGACAGTTTATTTATCGAATACAAAATATTCATGTATTATTCCTTCTTGAAAAAATTACTTGTAGATTGTATTATTGGAACGTATGGTGCAACATGTTCCTTAACGTGCCCTGTGACATGTAAAGATTTCGTGTGCGATCAACAAACTGGCCAATGCTTGGGTAAATAAAACACTATACAATTGTAGAAAACAGGATAAAATGTAACGCAAAATTTATTCACATGCATGGATTGGTGTATGTTATTTGACGTTGATGTATGTTCACGTGATTATCTGTAGCAAATTTTAGATAAAGGAGAAAACAACATCACGATAAAAGTATATCATATTTAACGTAAAACAATATGTCATATCTCATATTAGCGCATGTTACAAGTGTAACATCTTCAAATAATTAAGTCATCATACGCTTGTGTGCAGAATGTTATCCGGGAAAGTATGGAGTCGTGTGTGGTGCAGATTGTCCGGACACTTGTACTGACAACACGTGTAACAAGGATGACGGTCATTGCATTAGCGCTGGTAAGTGAAACCAAGTGAATAATTGTGTGTGTACTGATACGATAAGGAAGCAAGGTCCTTATTGATTAAGTTCCAGTTGTAACACACTACCTTTCACCTAGGATCCCGGAGTTCGATTACCGGAACTGACGTGAAAATGTATGATTTTCCCCAAGTACTCCAGTTTCTTCCTACAGTAAGACCTCTCGCGTGCTTCCATCTTGACCAACAAGAGTGATTGATATTGGATTCAAGCTGGTTTATTAATTACTATGAAATAAATAAGGTTTAATATCATGATACTTTTATTAACATAACCAATTTGACGCACTATTTCTTATTGTATTACCGAACATTAGATTACCAGAACATATTCAAATGACTTTGTACAGTATTTTGACAAATTAATATTTGCATTTTTGATCTTGTGAGGTTTCACATGGTGGAGTGAGTTAATTCTTTCTTGTGAACTATTCAAATCGCCCTACATCCGTGGTCTGTTGGTAGTCTGTCTATTCATAAGCAAAATTTGCTATTGCTAATTCTTGAGAAGTCCTCAATAGGCCTTGGTCTTTAGTTGTGCCTGTTAGATTTTGGGGCTGATCAGCAGTACGCAATGACCTACAGGCGACTTTTAAAATGAAAGATTGTTATCGCTATTTCTCAGGAAGTGCTGAATTGATCATACTAAAATTTCCTCTGTGTCACTTGTTGTGCTTGTCTGTTTTTATGCCTGATCAGAAGGCGAAATGGCGAAAAGAAGGCCATCTTGGATTTTTACTATGAACTATTGTTATCGTTGTTCCTTCAGAAGATTTTAGCAAGGAAGGTTTGTTATCGCCATTTGATGAGATCTTACATGATGGCCTTTCCTAAATTCTATATATATATATATGGACCCCCCATCCCATAGTTGTGCACTTTCAATTTTGAGACAGATTAGGAAAACAAAATAACTTAAAGTAAGGCACCTTTGATTTTGGAACTATAAGTGTGTTACTGCAATTTCTTGCTCAAGGTTTCTCTCAGATTTTATATGTAAATCAATTGATTCCTTTCCGTCTTATTACTGTGTCCTCTTGGTTTTGCGACGGATTAGAAAGGCAAAAATGCCTGACCGGCAATTATCTTTGACAATTATACTATAGATTAATATCGCTTTTTCTAAATGGAATTGAAATATTTATCTAACTAAAAGCAAAAACGGAGGGAAAATGAAAATATCTAACGGTATAGAACAAATAAAGATCAAAAAGTGGTAGGTACTGATTTCATCTTAATCGGACTGAATTCATTAGTTTATATAACATTTCCTAAACTTCTGGTCTAGATCCTTCAGATTCTAATCCTATTCTTGAGTGCATTGTCACTTTTAATTTCTTTAATCATTGTATGCATTGTCACGATATACGCACATATTGAATAGGCTTTAAATTGTAGAATTTCGACTTAGATACAAAAGCACTGTCATAGAAAAATCCAACGTTGATAATTAATAGTTATTAACTTGACATAACCTGCCAAGATTTGGTTTAGACGAAATGGTGATTTCTACATATAAATATGTCAATATATCTACATTACACTAATTAACAATATCATATTTAATAACGCACGGATTATGATGTTGCATTTCAGCCGATGCTAAGCTGATCATAATGGCTGTCCTTTGCGGTCTACTGATTGCTGTGGTCATCACAACGGTTATATGTCTACTTCGGTAAGTAACATAACGACAACATCAATAGCAACAATAGGAAAGTCAGAGTAAAATGTTGAATTTAAAACAAGCTTGAACTTAACATTTTTCATTTGGAAACAAACGGAATAAGAGTTCATCAAACATATCAATTTTTATTGTATTGATGTATTAAACAAATGAAATTGCATAACAAATTTGCGTTAAGAACGACGATCCATAAGTTATTGAAATATGTTAAATATATACATTGGATAGTTAGGTATCCCAATAGAGAAATGACAAGATTAAGGCGCTTGAAATGTCTGTGAAATGTCTCTGGATGCTGATAGGGAACTGTGAAAATATTTCTCGGTCATTGGTTGGTATCTGACTTTGCATTTTCAAAAGCTTGAAACACATGATAATGATAAATATAAAATCTAATTGATCGATTTGCATGGGTTCAATAGTGTTTCCTCTTATCGACAATTATCAATTTTTCTATTATACAGTTTACACAGAAGAAATGAAATCAGAAAAAAGTCACCAGATCAGGATAAAGGTGAGGAAGAAAGACAAAATACACCTTTTTAAGTGTAAACTAATACAAACTGACAGAAATGTTTTAGAATACATTTTCATTTGGTATTTATTCATTAGATGTTACTCTCAAAATCCATGAATAAAGTAATTTGAGTGTCTGTCATTTGTCTATCTTTCACACTTTGATTTTAATGTTACAGAATCACCCGTTCCAGATCCAAACTATACGTCTCTTTCCAATGAACAGGGAGAAGCGCCTCACATCTATGAAATGATCGTCAAATAATTGGACTGTCACATTCATACAACCGACTGCCATTTCAGATTTATATTGCACAACTCAATTCTTCTACACCATGTTAATACCTGATGTTTGTAGCAATGCAAAATTCAAGGCAGAGATTTAGTGTCAAGAGCTTAATACATTACATCTTGCTAAATGATCTATTCATTACGTTTGACTTTGCCGTTTACAATGCATCCTAGACAATCTACGGCTTCAGTCTACTGTTTATTGTGTACCGTTGATATCTTAAGTTCACAGAAATTACATATCATCCTCAACGTCTTACATCCTTACAATCAAACAGACCTTAAAACGTTATGCTTTACTTTTTTCATCTTATTATCATGTAAATTTCTTATTAGCATTCCGCTTGTTTGTTTATCAGCGTATTGATATAGAATGTTCATTGTTTACATTTATATATTCCTATGATTTCTCAATGTCCACAGCGTCTGATGACTATCTAGCATGTTCGCTACATTAGGCTTATGTTTGTTTTATTATGTTGACATGGATGAGATACTGTTACGTTACACCAAATGTTTAAATACTTTAATTCAACTTCATGAAACATGATTTAGTGTGCTTAAGGAGTCAACTTTCTCTTCGTTGATTGTAACCGTGAAAGGCTGTCATGACAACGATGGTTATTGATGATGTCTACTTTACTAACAAAGCATTGTGTATCAATACTGATTTTTTTATTATTCGTCGTCATCAACGGTGATGTTTATAGCATTAAACGCTTGCTTCATTAATCGCCAGAACACACCCATTATCACGAGACATTAAAGCAAAACACTTGCTATTGCAACTGTCTTAGATTAATTTTCTTGTGACAATCATTAAGATTTTCTTAAAATACTGAGTCGAAATATCACTATATTGCGTATTACTGCATCATCTTTTAATGAAATCCAAACATAAACGAAATTCACGGAAAAAAAAGCTTTTTTCATTTACTATAAGGTATACCAAATTGTGTATCAAGTATATTTCGCCAAACGCATCAATTATAGGATGCGCTGGCAAGATATAGTGGCCACGTACTAATTAATGTAGACTCTCATGATGATCGCGTGATGTACTAGGTTGGTAGGGACTGCTTTATACATGCTGTCAGTAAATTTATTTATCGCGTATAATGGTGTGATGAAAACAGCACGATAAAAGGAATCGTAGAAAATAGTCATTTTCAAAATATTTCTTTTCCGTGTGTTGAAATTAAAAGAAAAGCAATATTTATCTACATGTTTTGCTATTATGTCCAGGCGGACAAAATGAACATCTTTTTTTTATCGTCAACGATTTTTTTTTTAGTTCCTTTTTTCACAGATGTCTGAAATCGACCCCAGACAAAATATGTGTTTTTCTATTCATCAAATGGCAGAATAAATAATTATTTTACACTCACTGGACCAGAACCTCTCTGACATTCAATTATTCCCTAACCTCAAGTGCCTTGAATGGGTCAAAGTGACAAATAGTGAAACTTGTGCTACAAAACGAGTGAGATTCCATGTACCAATTTGTAGCATTTGCATAGCTGTATGAAAACTTAGAAAAGGCCTAGGTTAAAAAGTTAATGGGTTAAAAATGGTAGTGTCTATAAACCTGTATACCTCGTCAAAGCTGTGACAAAATATCAACCAGTCATTAACTGTTTACATTAGTGTAATTGTATATCTAAGAGTTTGGAAATGCAAGGACGACCAAGAAGACCTTCTATTTGATTACCTTTGAATACCTTATATACATGCTTTTTCTTTGTTTTTCGTTGGAATAACAAAACTCTTTTATCTGAAATACAGTTCAACCACAATTGATTTTTGTTTACACTACAGTACAGAGGTATATATGTTCATACTTTTGACAAAACATTTTATTTGTGCCATCAAACGACAGGTTTACTTCCGGGTTATTGTACACTTGAAGTATACAAGGAAGTTTTAGGTAAATTAAAACAAAATTCTGACTTATTTATGCCAGACGTGATAAAATAGCACAATAATGACATCTGTTTTGCCATACTTATTTTACCAAAACAAGATTTGATACAAATCAAAACTTTTTTTATATATAAATGATTTATGTATCCATGCAGGCTATAATTATACTTCCGGGTTGTTGAACAAAAGAAATGTCAGGTCAGTTGATCAATTATTTTCCCTAACTTGTCTTTGACAGACTTGTACTTTGTTTTCTTTTCTTTTTTCATGTAAATAATGTAAAATACCATGGTGATGACATTTCTTTTCATAACTATGTGTGTGGTGGGAAGAACTGTGTAATTAGATCTATTATTTAGAATGTTACCGACATTCAAATGAAAATATCTTTCTTAAATGCAGACTATGGGTTACTTTACGTTCTGATTGGACAGATGACAAAATAATATATTAACAAGATTTTTAACTTTGAAATCAACTCTGGTTTTAGGCCTGTATACAAGTGAACTTTCATTCTAGATATTCGGACCTGGTCCTGAAAATAGACACAAACCAAGATGTTGCAAAGGAAATTCCAAGTATAAATGAGCGACAGGATTGTTTTAATACTTTGTTCCAAAAACTATGCTTCCTATTTAAGTCAAACAGCTGCGCATATGTCAGTACAATGTATATTGGTACCGAAAGTGACCGGCGGCCAGCTTTGTTCATGAGGGAGATGTCTAGATTTATAAATTCCTACATCGACTGAATCAATGTATATTATAGTATAAAGTCTCAATTACTACAACTTGACGTAGTTATTATATATAGACGAATGCAACACAGAAAGTTAATACTACAATCGTATATCTAACAACATTACGTGTGGACGACTCACCGAATTTGTATTCAAACGCCTGACCAGATATTGATAATAATAATTACAGGAGTTATGTTTGTCGGAGACGTTTTTATTCTGTTCCTCTTCCTCCAGAGGTCTGAAAGTAGGTACTTTAAAATTGTTTACAGACTGACGCTCAAGTATATGTATCTACATACAGCCTTGTAAAAACATGAGATGTGTTCCTAGGCTATACTGCTATTGTACTTACTTAGAAATAACTATGCACGTAAATATGAGCTCTTTATTTATGCTTCATCGATGGAAAACAAAGAAAATTACCAAGTAAACTTAAATCAAATTCGCGGGAGGAGACATGGAACACTTTTACGGAACCCGTTTAAGAAGGAAGTATCTTCGTAATCTTGTACGAAGGTCATGTTATATATATGGAGCAGTATTACAAACCGGTTTCCATTAAAACTCATTGTAACATGTACATATGCTGCGGCTACTTGCATTCTCAACATTTGTTCCTGAGCAACTGATTCGTATTTCTGATAAATGTCTTGTTTAAGCTAATTTTGCTTGAGATCGTGACACATTTGTGTCAGACTGGTAATTATACGCAGTGTTAACGTTCTTATATCACATCCAATTAAAATTATGTGTGACTTTTCGATAATGACACTGTCATCTTCATGAGAGGTTTGGAATACTTTTTCCATGGGAAAAAGATTTAAAAGATGATAAGGTATCGACAGGACATTCCTGTGGTGCTAAAATCCTACTTTTATTTCTGGATATCAACATTCCTGCATCCCCAACCTCTGGTCTTTACACGTCTCAGATGATTCAATATGCAAGGTCCTGTCCCCATACGCACGATTTTTGTCCTGCTAGAAGTCACCAACAGATAGACAAACTCGTAACAAAGACTACAATCTTCATAGTGATTTCAGTGAGAAATATTCTATTTCATTGTGCAATATGAGGCTGGGCGTATTAGATGCTCGTTAATTTGCTTATTGGTTCCGTTGATGAATACCTTGTTCTCATTTGAGAATGTGGTACTACTTTCTTGGATTGAGCAAGGGTTTTATTGCATTTGAGATTGGTTGATGATTACGTTGATCTGTTGGTATTTTCTTATCATTATTTGTTTACATCAAGCTGGAAACTAACATGACGGAAACGCGACATGCTGAATTCAATTATACAATAGTGTAACTTCTGTACAACATATTTTCGTCAGTTTTGCTTAATTTTTAAGGTATTTGTAATAAAA